ATTATTCTAAGGATATACAAACGGAATTAATCGATTTGGTCTGTAAACGGATCAATGAATTATTAATGTTATAGCTTCAGTTAAATGTTTGACTATAATACTTCACGCTTAAAACAACAATTTATGTACAGTACATTAATAATATATTGATAACTTTTGTGCTTTTCCAATCATAATTCAATTTCGAAGAATTATTAGAAAAAAATTAATGTTGATAACGTTTATAATAATATATATGAATCTTATACTTTGATACAAAGTTATAAATAGAAAAAAAACCTATAAAAGTAAATAAATATGCTCAGATAAATCTGAAAAATTTCTTTTTCATTAATGATTTGATAGTTTTTTTCTCTTTACGCCCATTTCTATTATAATAATGTGTTGTCTTGAAGTAAATTTTTAATTTTTTTGTTTTTTTATACTTTAGTTTCTGAATCAACTGATAGAAATGGAATTTCTGAAAGTAATTTAAAACAAAATATTCATCCAGTCCTTAATTCAGAAAAAGACGTTCTGGATGACAATGAACCAGATGTCAGGAAATGTATAGTTAAAAACACGACATTTTCCGATATTTTTGATGAATCTAATGATACAGAAGAATACTCTGATGTAAGTATAAATTTAATAAAATAATTCTAGATAAGTTTCTTAATTTTTTTGTCGTTTGGAAGATGATTATTGATAAATACGACGTTCTTATATTAAAACGCATTAATAAATATAAGTTATAACTCACATAAATTCACTTCATATTATTTATGAAGTTGCTCGTTGTTTAGTTTTTAAAATTGATATGTTCATAATTGATGCAATATTTCGGTTATAGATTATATTTAGCAGTAATTCATCTCATTTTAGNGACGTTCAGCGCCGCCTTCCTGTAAGCTAGAAGTTTGACAATGGCGTTTGATACGTCGAGCATGATTCCACTGACGTTCCAAACGCCATTGTCAAACTTCTAGGCTTACAGGAAAGCGGCGCTGAACGTCCGACGTACACGTTTTCGCGATGAAAACGTCAAACGCAACCTCTCTATTAAGTACTTTGTTTTGCTTGTAACATGAACTTTTTGGTGGGGGTCGATGTGAGGTTTCGAAAACTTGTAGGGGGGTCGACGATCAAAAAAGTTTGACGACCCTTGGTCTAGATCAGGGGTCGCCAAACTTTTTTAACCGTCGACCCCCAATCACTTTTCAAAGCCTCATATTGACCCCCACCGTAAAGTTTTATTACAAGTGTATATGTATGAGCGAAAAAAAAACGTTGTGGGTTGTGGTCTCTGTCTAAGCAAAAAAAAAAAAATTGTGACCCCTTAGCCGCATCGACCCCCTAGCCGCATCGACCCCCAATGATGTTGCATCGACCCCTGGGGGTCTATATCGACCACTTTGGCGACCCCTGGTCTAGATTGACATTAATATTGAAAAAATTAAAGATAATTTGCTGTAAAATGTTTAATTATTTATAAAGCATTATAAAATAATATAACAAAATCTGTTTGAAATGGAACGCGTATCGGCCAGAATTTTTCGTTTTTGAAGGTTTCATTTTATAGAAAGTTACGTTTTTATTTATTAGCTCTTCTAGACTTAAGGAAATAAAGAAGTGTTGTATTATCACAGCTTTCAATACTTTTCAGGCAACGAATATAAAGTACTGTACAGGTATTAATAAAGATTTAAAAACTTATATACAGGGTGGGTGCAGAGATAGGTATTCAATTATGAATCTGAAAAATTCAGATGTTTGGTGTTCATTATTATTAATTTTTTTATCTTTTATTATTTCGTCATATGTCTTGTTTGTGATTTAATCATTACATGAAAATAAATGTTTCTTCCATACATTTTCTTGCATGTGTTTTCCGTAATAACAAATGTATACCTATCTTTGCACCCCCTGTATTCTACTATTCTTGTCGATCATGATCCAAGCTGGCAAGTTATAGCATTAATTATAATTTATATTTTATCAGCTCAGGAAAATTTCTCTTTACTTAGGTTATGTTATGCAATTGTCTCTTAGAGAGTTTCCGCATTAGACAGGTTTCTGCTGATAGTAGTATTTCACATAGCAAATCGTTCCCTCCCGAAATTTATTTTCCGTTTTAAGGAGTATCCGTCTTACATGGTTTTAGTATATTTATAATAATTAATTCTGATGAGTTGGTAAAAATAAAAAAATATTTACTGTAAATTTTTATTTTATTCGGTTTACAGTTACATAGTTTTATATCAAACTAAGCAAAATAATTATTTATGAAAGATAAAAATCTTTATAAAAGTATCGATTTTCGAAATGCTTATTCAGAATTTAAACAGAAGAAATAGAACCATACTCTAATCAATGATATAAAGAGAAATACTGCAATTAATTATGTCATACATTATCATGGACTTAAAACTGCTTTTCATGCTTTTCCTTTCTATGGGAATTGTCTTTGCAGGCAAGTTATATATTTAATATAAATTGATTATCTATTTGATTTCTCACTTTTTAGAAGACAGTTTTAAAAATGTTATTGAATTTATAACAGTTAAATATATTTTGTAACAGGTCCATATTCTCAACTAAACTATAAATGCAGTAGAGAATGCAAAAATAGTGAGTAATTATATTTAATAAATATGTATAAATTTTTTTTCATGTTATATGATTAAATCAGTTTGATAAGACGTAAGATTAGGGCTGTCGAAAGTTTGGTTTGGAGTCAGGAGGTAGAGTGGGTCTTTGCCATTTTTTTTTTTTTTTTTTTTTTGTTCTCATTATTTTTGTGCAGTGTGCTTGCTCTCTTAATATGTCCCNAAGTCCATCATACGCTTTGTACTAAACATCTAAAAATCTAAAACAACATGAAAATACATATACGATCATAGAAAGATGAAAAATACAATATTTCGAATGAATCGAATATGAAAAAATATTAAAATAATGTTTTTTTTATTATTCTAAAAAATAAAAAGTAACTTTTTGAATTTTATGATATATTAATGACGTTAAGCTTTCAATAATACGTTATTCTCGCTTTTATTTGATAATCTGGCGTACCAAATTTTGTACATTGATAATTCTAAGGAAAAAAATGGCAAAAATGCAATTTAATAAATATTTATACTCTGTGCGAATTATGTCTAAATTACTGTAACAGTATTTGTCAAAGTTGTAATATTTTTATTTATAATATGTTTTTGCTGAATTTGTTAATTGCAAGAAATTATTTTAATATTGTCAAAAATTAATATGCTAAAACAAGCTGATTTTTATATCAATCTTCGAGAAACATGATTGTTCCTGATAAAGTGGGTTAAAAAAACTTAGACGTTTTAATTGTTTATTATAATAATCTTGATTCGTCTTAGCACATAACATATTATGAATTAAAACATTTCTATAACACATTGTTTATATAGGGTTTTTTTTTATTAACCGCCCTGTAGGCACTAAGAGAGCATCTTTTTCAGATTCATCGTGGGTTTGGCCGATTACATAGATTTATAGATTCTTATATTTAATTTCAATACAAGCAAAAGTTTGCGATAATTTTGCAATTATTATTATTATTTTTTTAAATAAAATCTCTTATTAATCATTTACTGTAGTTAAACAATAGCAGTATATTTATTTTAATAAAATAAAACTGTCAGTCGCCTTTTAAAATTGTTATAAGAATATGATTAAGTTGTAATTACTTCTGAAGCGATTTACTCTATTTTATCTCTCCGTGAAGAATAGTTCAAAATTCTTATTCTGTTTGAAGTGATTTTTTTTTCTGCATAGTATCATACATTTGTTTAAAGAATTTCGGACTTGGAAAGTTCTTTACTTTCAATCGTTTATTTTATATTTTGCCTGTGTCCAGAAAACCTGAAAATCCAGAAATCTTGAGATTTCTTTCGTTCCCAAGCTTATGAACAAACTGTTATGTTAATTACAGTTTAATGAAAAATTTCCTGCATTAAGTATAATTTCCCACAAGTATTATTTTTTGTGAGCGTCTTCCTAGTTTATGAATATGAATTAATAATTTTATTCGTTTTTATAAAATATGACTTCAAACTCTTCAAAAAACTAGTAACGAGTTGCTTAACTTTCCCCGCCACATTTAAAATTTTGGAGGCGCCATCTTATTTTGCTATAAAATAATAAAAGTTTTTAAAACAATTTATACATTTTCACAATATAATATTATATTACTATTTTTTTTATAATTTACATTTCAGCCGCTAAGAAATTTCAGTATAAAGAACAAACAACATATGTATACGATTTTGAAAGCACAAATTACGTTAAAATCGGAAGTTCGCCTTACAAACCAGTTGCAATCAAAGCCAGAGTTGAAATAAGTAACTTGGGAAACTGTGAGATGGCTTTGGAGGTTAGTAGATTTTTTTACAATAATAATAATTTTAAATTGTTAAACCATGGGCGTAAGAGTCGGGAACAAGGACAATCGCCTCCCAAAATCACCCACCAATACTTAAACTAAATAGTGCACTGTTAGTTGAATATGGGTTCATGCTTCACCAACTGTCTGGCTACGTGGTGTTTTCCAGGTTTTCTTCACGTGTCTAACAACTAAATAAGGGACAGTTTTCCACAGAAAGTCTTCTCTGGAGGCACTCATTCTTGGTAAATCGCTTATGTGTTGCGTTCCTTACTTCAATCCAATCTCCCTAAATTCGCGTAAAATAACGGGAAATTTCGGGAAAAGCAAGAAAAAATCAGACAGAGAAAACCAAGAGGTCGGCAAATTATCAGCAATGGCAAATTATCAGCAATGGCAAATTAAAAATTAGTACCTGAGTTTCATTGATGTAAAATCAACATGCTCTGTCTTCTTCAAATTGTCCCTATGCTCTCATGGTTTAAACTTATGTTTATTTTAACCTTGTGAAAAATGGCATAAAAAATTGAAATATATATTAATTTTCTTCTCATGCTTATATAATATTTTAAATTTTATAGATAAAAGATGCAAAATTATTCGTTTCCGGGAGAGAAGAGCGTCAAATAACAGAATTAATGCATTCTCCTCTTTTGTTTTCGTTTGAAGATGGTGAAATTAAAGAAATTTGTCCATGGCCAAATGATTCTACAGAAGTTATTAATATAAAACGAGCTATATTGTCTGCTTTTCAGAATACTATGAGCGGTTTTGATAAGAATTATGAAAATAAAAATGAAGTATGCAATTTATTCTATTAAAAATAGAGATTTTTATATAACAAATAAATATACTAACATAACTACAATAAGCTCTTGTTATTTGTTCATAAAGATTTGGCAAATTTATGCCTGTTAAATTAAATTTATTGTATTAAAATAAGCTACATTTTATTTAATATCTACATAAATTTCAGAATGATATAGTTGGATCGTGTGGCACTGTTTACGGGATAATAGAAAGATCAAATAAAACGGTAATAGTTAGTAAATCCAAGAATTTGACTGAATGTGAATACCGACGTATCGGCAATACTGCATTATTAGCTGTCCTTGAACCAGATGAAAAACAGGTAAGTACATGTAAAATATTAGTTGTAATTTATTTAAAAACATATATATGAAATCACTTCTTCATTGAATAGGTACTCGTAATGCACAAACTAATTGCCAACTGTCAACAAACTATTGAAGACGGCATTATAACTAATGTTTCGTGTGTCGAATATAGTACATTTCAGCTTTTCAAAAATATAAAAATTTATGATACGAGATTGCTTCATAAAACGAAAGCAAAAGTTAAACTCATTCTACAATATGTTCGACGTTTGAAGTCATTTACACCTTGTGAGTAATTAAGTTTTATGTATTCGAATAACTTATTGAATGACTACAGATTACAGATTTACTTTCATTAGATGAAATCGTCGAAAGAAAGCACTTGTTATATTCTCATCAACCAGAAACGTTCTCTAATCTTGCTTATGAAGAAGCTTTAAGAATTTTACGATCTCTATGTTCCGAAGTTCCAGAAGCAATTAATCAAGAAACACCAAAACTCTTCTCGCGCTTAGTGCAGGCTCTTCGTAACGTACAACCTAGTGAATTAGAAGATATTTATGAGAAAATGGAGAGAGGAGAAATATGCCAATCAACTTGGCTAAAGTTAATATAAGATTACTTTTTTTAAAGTTAAGATATTTAATATAAAATGTAATAGGTTTGTATATTCTTTCAGAAATTTAATCAATAATGCATTACCTCATATCGGTCACGAAGGTTCTGTCAGAATAATGGTGAATAAGATCCAAAGTAGAACTGTTAGTAAAATTCAAACAGCTCTTTGGGTTACTAGTTTGGCTTTTATTAAATATCCTACAGAAGAAACCATTTTAGCTACTGTGGTAAGTATTGTTATTTCTAAATAAAATACGATTAGAAAATATTTAAATGAATCTTTGAATGATTATAACAGCCATTATTGGATTACGAGAAAGCAGGAAAACAAGCGCTTCTAGGGATTACTGCAATGTGCAATAATTATTGCAAGAAAAATACAAACTGTGAACATTCAGAAGCTATTCAGCAAGTAATAAGATCTCTTAGCAGATACTTGAAGTATAGATGCAATGTTTATGAACCAAATGAAGTAACACAGGTAATTAATTGAATGCTTTGGTCAATCAATATTAAGTAATCATATAACATTGGCACATGTTAATTTATATAAGTAAATATTTACTTAAATAAATATTTGATCTTAAAAATTGCAAATTAATATTCAGACAATTTAAATGAATAGGCACTATGAATTATTCTAAATTAGTCATTATATTTTTTCTTCTTAAATAAATAATGTAGCTTTTCTTGATAGGTAATCACAGCTTTGAAAAGTTTCGGAAATTTGGGAAGAGTTGGAGATGCTAGAAGACAAATCCTAGAATGTGCTGAAAAACCATCCAATAAAGATACCATTCGATTGGCTGCAATAGAAGCATTCCGACGAACACCATGCGAAGAAGAGGTTAAACAACGGTTAATGAATATTTTCTATCCTCGGGATGAACCTGTTGAAGTGCGTATTGCAGCTTATCTAGGAGTAATGAAATGTGCAGATAGAAAACTCGTGAGAAGGATCAAACAAGTTTATGACTCAGAAATGCTCAATCAAAGTACCAATAAAATCAATTTTTGAATTTCGATTAATTGCGAAATGAATTACTATAAGTAAGTTTTCTTTTCTAGTAAAAGCATTTGTCTATTCTCATATAAAAAATCTTCAAGAAAGTTCTTCTCCCGAAAAAGAAAATATCAGAAGAATTGTGAGAGAATTTGAATTCCAACCTCAACCACTGGATATCATGAAATATTCTCAAAATATTGAATGGTCAACTTATCAAAATATGAATCAAGCTGGAGAATTTGAATCAAACATTATTTATTCACTGGATTCGTTCATACCGCGATCGTTCATGGCAAATTTGACTTCAATTTTTTACAGAAAAAGCATCAATAATATCGAAGTGAGTGTGTTTTGAATACTTAAGGAATTTATTAATTTTAAATTAATGATGATTTTATTTACAAATTGAATTTGATTCTAGGTTGGAGGAAGAGTAGAAGGTCTTGATCATTGGTTGGGAAGTTTGTTTTCACCTATAGGAGAATATGGTCATATGTCGTTTAGTGAATTTGCCCATTACATGTTTGGTTTAGCTAAGAAGAAACTACGACCAAAATGGCCGACTTCTAGAACATTAAATCATAAATATAAAGCAAAAATTGACTCGTTTTCTGAGAATGTAAACTATTCATTTATATTCTATTAAATTCTTGGTCAAGAAGGTTTTAACTTAATGTCTATTATCTTTTATAGATGAAAGCCTCTGTTCCTCACGATGCTCATGGTTCATTTTATTTCAAACATCAAGGCAGTGAATTATTATGGGTCACAATTGATGGACAAACTGGCTTCAGCTTGGGAAAAAGTATAGGTTATATGAATATTCTTTCAGAGGTAATTAACTCTATTTAAATTTTTAGCATTTTATAAAGTTTAAACTATTGATTTTATTATATGCAATTTTAAAGCTTGCAAAAAATCAAAAAGTTGATACAACTCATGGACTTTATTTGGATACTTCTGTAATTTATCCAAGTATTTCTGGAGGTGCAATTACTTTTGATATTGATGGATCAGTAATATTAGGATTGAAGGGAGAAGGAAAGATAGATTTGAGAAAAGCGTTCTCCTCGCCAAAAGATATGGATATTGAAGGAAAATTACGTGTCAGGTAACTAGTAAATGTGATACTGAAATTACTACTTTAAAATTTCTACTACTCTTTTTAAAATATATATTATTATTATTGATTAGATACTGCTACTGTTATAAACAGTAGCATTATCTAATCATATATAATCTGTAATTATTATCTATCATTAATCTATAACTTATATAAAAATACAAATGAAATTTTTATAAAGACTAATTATTAAATGAATATAAACATGTTTAAAATTTATTTCAAATAGTACTGCTAGTGAAATAAATATGATTATGAGTTACAAATTACTCTCACAATCGCCAAGTATGAAATATGTTGTCAAGACTCACGGAGACATTGCGCTTAATGGAAAATTGTCAATTAAAGATGGACGATTATTCGATTTATACGTTGATCTACCAGACGAAAAATTGGATATTTTATCCATAAAGTTTGTATCTGTATTTTTATTATAAATAAAAATATATTTTATATTTTTCAGACTAAAAATTAGCTAATAAATCATTTTTTCACAGTGTTGATGTTATACATGTTGATGAGTATGATCGTGAATCTTCAATTCAGCCTTCAAGAAATTTCAACCGTTGCTTTAAACTTTTTAGAAAAATAATAGGTTATGATATCTGTACTCAGATAACTCTTCCTAAGCCTATAATATCATCTCAAGCACCTTTCATTCCTGTTAGTGGACCTTACGCAACGAAAATATCTCTTTTGAAAGAAGATCGTGGCATTCGTGGTGTCTTACTAAATATCGAATTGCCTGATCGCAATGTAAGATATATAATACAATAACTTAATAATATATAGGCAATATTCATAATATTATTTTTTAATTAGAGCTTCAACAAGACGAAATTTAAATTTGAATTCGATACGCTGGGTTCTGCAGCTAGTAAGAAGCATTCTTTAGAAATTGTTTATATTACCACACAAAATGCTAAAATATCGCATGAGCTTCAAATAGATTTGCAAACACCATATAAAAAAGCTAAAGCAAAAGGTATGAATTTAATATATTTCTCTGTAAAATATTCTCAATAATTTAATTTGAATATTTTTTGATGTAGTAAAGTTAGCCAGTGCTTCATCTTTGAAACTGTTCGAAGTTGATTTGATCTTCGATCAAACACGTCGTTGGACTTCACTTGTCCATATTACAAGTGAGACGACCAAACAGTTTTTAGAAGGGAGAATAGTTACGAAATTTCATTCAATAATAAAGTTTATTTGTCCAAACAGACGACCAATATTATTATCTGGCTTACTTACACATACAAAAACAGATACGGAATTATTTACATTTGATCTTTCTCCTAGCCATCCTTCTAGTCAACTGATTCAAGTGTCAGGTACATGGATCTATATAAATTATACTGTACATAAATAATTTTAAAACATAACTGATATTTATAAATAAATTAACAATTTAATAATATATATCTGAACTCTTATATGTAGCCTATATGTATGGGCTATATACACCATGATTCATATCTTTAATTTAGATTAATTATAGTGTAAAGTCTAGACTATTTGTATTCAATAATTATAATAAATTTTATAATAATTTTATTACAATAATGTTTGCAAAACTTTGATGAAAATGTTTTAATTTGCTATCTCAATTAATATTTATAATTTTAAGATCTTATAAATACACTTAAGGTGACTCAAAAGTCGCGATACGTAGGAAAATTTAATAGTTTTACAATGACCAATCCATGAACCTGGATACTGATAATGCAATTTTCCTATGTATCGCGACATTTGGAACACTGTCTAAAGTTAACTATACTCATTATTCAATAGATAATTCAAGCATGTTATCTGTATTTAATAATATTATATAATTTTTATTTTCTTAACAGGTATGTTTCATAAAGAAGGGAATATTACATTTAATAATCAATCAATATGGGAATTGACTACAAAACTTAACGTAAAGCTTCCATTTTTTAACTATCAAATATCGGGTAAAACACTTAAAAACAGGAAAATATTATCATCCGATATATCAATAGATTATGAAAAAAGGGGCGATAGACGACAAATTTTTAAAGTAAATTACCTATTTCAAAATCTAAGCACTCAATATTTTACCAAAACTATAACCATAGTCGAAATCCATTCTACTCAAAATCCAAAATATAATATTCTTTTGGACTGGGATTTTCAATATAAACCGAAAGAACATCTAGAGAACGAGTTAATAATTACAGATAGTTTAAACCCACGAAGGCTTCTTTACCTCCTACAAGTCAGTAAAATTGACAGAAAAAATAATCCGAATTTCTCATCAGAAAATAATATAATAATTAATGTTCCAGTAAAGGAGATTGATTATGAACTTAAATTTTCTGTAAATCATGACAGAACTCAGTTTATGACAACAGTTGATGCCGAAATGGCACGACATAAACAGTCGTGCATTAAATCCAATTTAAAATATTATTTAGTTCAAGAAAAACCATTGACTATGGCACTCGACTTTATCTTACAATATCCTGGTAGAACCATACAATATTTTGACGAAGTAACAGAATTATCACCCGAAGAATATCAGGGAATATCAAATCTTCAATGGGACAAAGATCAAGAATATGTTTTAGAATATGTGTATATAATCAAAAGTGATGTAAATAGTTTTCATCATGAGTTTAATACTGTTCTATCTGCATCTTGGTTAAAATATCCAATGGAAATTAGCGGTTTATTTAAAATGAATGAAAATTCTGTTGATATCAAAGGCATTGCAGGTTATAAAGGAAAATCTCCCTATAAAATAAGAATTGAAATTATTCCAAGAAAATTCAGTAAACTGAGTTTAGATTTACGAATTTACGGAAAGAGCAATTTCCAATTTGATAACAGTGATACAAACACAATATTAAAATTCGATATAAGTAGACCAGAAACCGGTCGACGAATTTTAGGCCAAATATTAAGCCAGACTTCACAATTAAATTCTACTCTTAAATTTGAAATAAGTTGGAATGCCGATATTGATCCTTCTGCGAGACTTTCTATTGAATCTGAAATAATACCGGTTTCGTCTTTATCTGCTAAATATTATATTATAAAGAATAAAATAGAGTATCGAAAAAATTTAGTAATATATTCAAAAACACAAATATATATTGGTGACTCACAAGATCGTCATAATACGCAAATAAAGCAAAGAAGATCTTCTATACATATGAACCAGGATGTTAAAAAGGGAATTTTAATTTTTGATATGACTTGCAAATATGAAAATAAAACATTAATGCAAATATCGGCATCAGGCCAGTTTTATAAGCAAATATCTCATTTGGAAATGGATTTTGACGCTGTTGTTCATTCATCCAACCCAAAATGGGATGGAAAAGAAATACATTTTATTCTTACGCTGGATAATTCTTATTCATATATTTTTAAATCTGAACTCCGAATCATTCCAACACCGTACAAGCAATATCTAGTAAATATAGAAGGTATTCTTACACTAACAGAAAGTTCTGAAGTTTTGAAAGCCTCATTAGCATTACGAACTCCTGTTCGAGGATGGAGAAAACGTGAAATCAATCTAAATGCAGAAAAGTCACGTGATAAAATTGCATTTGATGCTGATCTTACCACGGACGAAAGCAGGAAACTTATTGTTTCAGGAAACATAGAAATCACCTATTATGGTGCTAGATTGCAATGTGAAATTCAAACACCGGCTTCCGGAAGAATGAAGACAACTAAAGTTATAGCAGCTTACATTCTTCAGCCTTCAAATTACGAAGTACATTGCCGGATATTAGTTGATGACCAAACAAAATTGTATTTCAGTGGTAATCTTGTAGGAAATAGCACAAAGAATTTTGATAGCAATGTCGAATTCAAGAGTTACGTAACACCATCATTCGGTGCACACATGAGCAATAAAATGGACAGGACGCATAAAGAATTCGATGTAGCCTTTACGAAAAATTCAATTAAAAAACTCTCTGGAAGATTATCCGCACAACACAGTCGATCTGATTATACCGGATCAATAGAACTGGATGTCGAAGGAAAAAGAATTGTTGACGCGAACATCAGTTGTCAAGATAGAGGCGCAATCAAAAGTTGTCGTTTGAATGTAAGTGGTGCTTTCAAACCCATGATCATCAATGTGGATTATAGAAAAGAAGATTTCGTGATAAAGTTAGCAGTGAAGATATGTTGGAAAAACAGACACAAAAATTCCGAGTGCATAAAAATCGATGGTTACTATAGATATGAAACTAGGTATCATAGAACCGTTCTTCGTGAAATAATACTGAATATAAGAAGACAAGGAGAAGATATGTTTGTAGAATTTTTGCAACATGTAAACGAAAAGGATTATAAAAATAAACTTGTATTTTCATCTCCGAGAAAGAAAATCGGTTATGATGTACATTTAGATCGCCAATTGCCGCAAAAGAATGCACATTTGCAAATATATCTTCCATCAAGAGTGATCAAAGCACAAGGTACTCTTCAGACAGAGAGAGAAGTTACATTAAGTGCCGAATGCCAACTAGACGCAGAAAGACAGCCTATGAAAAAAATGGTCTTAGAATTATTTCATAAGAATAATGTTGTTAGGAGTAACCGAGAAATATTTTCCAAAATCGAATTCAAACATCCAGAACTTCGTAAGGTAATTATAGAAATTTAAATAAGGTTTAATCAGCAATTATTTAAAAATATATTTTGTCTAATGTTATGAATTTTTCAGCCGATTTGTGTAAAATTTGAATTGCATGGTAAAGAGGCCGCATCTGCATCTGTCCATCCATTCGATGCAAAACTGGAACTGCAATATTCCGATAATCCAAAAGATAATATAATTTGTAGTGCATATCTGAAAAGTGTTTCGACTGGTAAAGGAAATAGCACCTTTGTTTTTAACGTACATACATATGGTATGTGTTAATGTATAAGTTATGCATATTTTATAAACTTACGTTGGAAACTAATTTTTTAAATTTAATAATGATTATTCATTATCAGTTAATCAATCTAATTAACATACAGGAGTTATAAAAAGTTATGTAAATTCATTAAAAATTCAATCCCGGATCACCCAGAGCTTAACTGCTCGTCCATCCGTCCGTTTCATTTTTGATACTAAAATATTATGAAGTTTGGCTATTCAATTTGTTCCAGATTCGTATTTTTGGGGTCAATTTATTCTTTAATAATAAATTTATCAGAATTTATATGATTTTTTACATTTTCCTGTATCAGCAGAAGCTAATTTACATAGTTTATCAAAATTTTTAAAAATATTCTTCAGAATGAATTAAGTATAAGTGATTAAGAAATTTAATAGTAAGTTAAATACTAATTTAAATATAAAATAATGAAATTATTTTTGAAACATTTTTGAATTTTTTTTTAACATTATATAATATATATTTGTGAGAAATTAACCAAATTAACCTTTTCTATCCTTGATATTAGAACGACGTCGCTTCGATTTCACCACAAAGTTAAATTTTACACACCGTGGTGACTTAATACACTATGGTTTGAGTTGGGAGCTTATATCACAGAATACGAGTAGAAAATCCGAATATTTAATATTAGAAATTTCTACACAAAATCAAGCTTATGTGATATGGGTATGCTTTAAGACAACTTGTACAACAATTTAAATTTCTTTAAACAATATAAATTATTTGTTTTTTTTTAACTCAAATAAATAAATGAAGTACAATGTATTGCAGGGCAAATGCGAAAATACAGAAATACAAGTAGTCGGAATGTGGGTATTTTTAAACAATACTTTCAAGACCCAAATAGACACCCGACTGAACGGTAAAGAACTGAAGATAATAACTTTTACTCTTGATTTATATACGCCTTGTTTAAATTTGCCATATACCCCAACATCCAGTAAGTGCTATTCCTTCATATTATATTTAAGAAGAAAATTTATAGTTTTTTTTATAATTAAAATATATATGTATATACCATTTTAGATGAGATGACGGAATCCACGTCACAGTTGTGTACCATTTCCAGTAATCGACATCTAATAGTCGTCAATGGAGAGCTTCTTTATGGACAGGATGAAGTTTCAAATTTACGTTTAAAGCTGGGTAGAGATACTAACCATATCTTCTTCACTTCCGATTTCAAATGGATGCCAGAACTTCTTAGAGAAATTTCAGTACGAATTATTGCTTAATCGTTAAATTTACCTTAATTTTCATAATTTATTTCTAAAATACTAAATTTATTTTTAGAATTTCTTCACACTTTCAACTTTAAATTTCAAAAAGCTATTGATCTATAAAGAAACGTTACAGTTATATAGTGATATGATGGATAATATAAAACGAGATATTTATGAACCTTTGTGTAGAAGCATTTCTCGTGAATTGTCGCAAATATATTATGAAATAAAAGATGATTTTGATTCTACTAAGAGGAATCTACAACAACTCTGCGAGTGTCTGTAAGTTTGCATATTATTTTCATAATAAAAAATGCTCAGTATAAGCATAATCATAATTTTATATGATAACGCGACGAAAGACAAGACTCGTGTGATTTTCAAATTCAGAGATTCTAGAGCGGAAAATATTGCTAAAACCCTTTCTAAAATGGTCTTAAAAATGTTATATTAAAAAGGATCAACTGTATTATATCGACGTTTAATAAATGCAATAAATAAGCAATGACACCATGACAATATTGTCGTGGTACTATGAACATCACAGTGTTATATTGTGTTATCATATCATCGGCTCTTACCGATGTTAATTTCTTACTTACGGATCTCAAAGTATGTCTACTTGACCACACATTACATAAATTATAACATATTTTATATAAATGCATAATAATATTAGGCCTATATTGTTATACAAAATGTTGGGCATTAAGGAGGCTGTTCATAAATGACATTTCCACACTGGAAATCAGAGAGGAGGTTATTACAAGTCGGGCAAAGTGGGACAAGGGGAGTAAAGATTTCAAGAAAAATACAAATTATTAAAAAGTCCATGTAGACAATGTCTACGTAGACATTTTTAGAGATTTTAGTAGCATATAAATTTAATCCCCTTCACATACACTAATGAACTTAACAACTTATCACGACGCTCTTCCCCGTTAAACTGTACACGTACGCTAATTAATAGACAGTTCCTATTTTTAAAAATAAATATAAAATATAAATGATATTAAAATTTATGTACAGGTTAAATGTAAATATTTACAATATTCTATGTTAAAAATTGAAATATTAAAAATATATATTCGTATTTTTATTACATTTTTTAAAAATTTCTTTTTTAGACTTAATAATGAAGGAGTCAGTAATCTTCTTCAATCTTTAAGGAAATATATTAAAAATATTCAAAATGAACTGAATAACTCAATCCAGGAAGTAATAATTCTTTTTAATTCTCTTATCCAAAACGTTTATGATTTGAAAAGATTTGTCGCCAGAAAACTGGATTTAGTGTGTGAATATGGCACGTATTGTTATGAACTAAAATCGGAATTTAGAAGAAATGGTTTGAAGGGAGTTTTGAGCCAAGTTTGGAAAAGAATAGAAGATATTTTGAGTAAAAGTCTGAGGACTAAAATTAATTTCCAAAACATTTATAGAGGTATGTTAACAATATATTTTCTAATTTATCTCAGAGAATCTCTAACATCTTTCTAATCTTAGCTAATCTTTAACATATATCAAAAACAAAATTTGGCAAAAGAACGTAAGGTTGGCCTAAAAGTCAGTTTAACCGTTGTAAACAATGAATTTGTCTTATTTAAGTACTTTATCGTTTACAAACTTTACAAGCATTATTGTTTTTAATAACGCAGCCACAAATTCTTTAAAAGAAAATTACATTGTTCTAAACACAGTTTGCGATTCATACTCACTAGTGTACTGTACTTGGAACATGCAAAACAAAACACAGTTAAACTGACTTTTGACCACCCCTCATTGTATGTATCAATAGAAACAAACTTCCAATTTACAAATTAATTATAAATGTAAATATAGATGATCATATAAATTATTATTTCTACATATACTGTATACAGTGCCTGATTTATACAAATAATTTCGAAGAATAACATGCTTATTGAACATTTCCTGAAATCCATGAAAGGTGTTTCAAATTAATATTATTTAATTGATTTGTAATAATTAAAAAGACGATCTTTTACAGTTTTAATTATATCTCACTTCTTTCGGGTAGCAATCAATTTTTATTTTTAAATTTATTTTTCTTTTTTCTGCAATAAAAGCTTTTAACAAATATGCGTTTTGAGTAAACATATATTTAGTTTTCTTTGATTTATAAGAAAAATATATATTTAATATAGTACAATTCAAAATCTCGACTGGTCAAAATTCCTACACGATCAGTGAAGAGAAAATAGAAGCCTGGTATTATTCTTGTTTTTATATATATGCTCGTTCCAATAAAAAATTTGAAATTTTTATAAAAATGTTTGCAAATCTCGAGGGTCTTTCTATTAAAAGTTTTGTGTATTTTAAGCGAAAAAAAACATAAAAAATTTAACTCAACAAATGTATCATGGTCGGTTTAATAGTCTATTTTTTGTGCCAAATAAATAAAGTTAGTTTTACAACTGATTATATATTAATAGTATTATGTATTGATGTACTGTACATTATATTATCTATATACAATATTCTATGTTAAAAATTGAAATATTAAAAATATATATTCGTATTTTTATTACATTTTTTAAAAATTTCTTTTTTAGACTTAATAATGAAGGAGTCAGTAATCTTCTTCAATCTTTAAGGAAATATATTAAAAATATTCAAAATGAACTGAATAACTCAATCCAGGAAGTAATAATTCTTTTTAATTCTCTTATCCAAAACGTTTATGATTTGAAAAGATTTGTCGCCAGAAAACTGGATTTAGTGTGTGAATATGGCACGTATTGTTATGAACTAAAATCGGAATTTAGAAGAAATGGTTTGAAGGGAGTTTTGAGCCAAGTTTGGAAAAGAATAGAAGATATTTTGAGTAAAAGTCTGAGGACTAAAATTAATTTCCAAAACATTTATAGAGGTATGTTAACAATATATTTTCTAATTTATCTCAGAGAATCTCTAACATCTTTCTAATCTTAGCTAATCTTTAACATATATCAAAAACAAAATTTGGCAAAAGAACGTAAGGTTGGCCTAAAAGTCAGTTTAACCGTTGTAAACAATGAATTTGTCTTATTTAAGTACTTTATCGTTTACAAACTTTACAAGCATTATTGTTTTTAATAACGCAGCCACAAATTCTTTAAAAGAAAATTACATTGTTCTAAACACAGTTTGCGATTCATACTCACTAGTGTACTGTACTTGGAACATGCAAAACAAAACACAGTTAAACTGACTTTTGACCACCCCTCATTGTATGTATCAATAGAAACAAACTTCCAATTTACAAATTAATTATAAATGTAAATATAGATGATCATATAAATTATTATTTCTACATATACTGTATACAGTGCCTGATTTATACAAATAATTTCGAAGAATAACATGCTTATTGAACATTTCCTGAAATCCATGAAAGGTGTTTCAAATTAATATTATTTAATTGATTTGTAATAATTAAAAAGACGATCTTTTACAGTTTTAATTATATCTCACTTCTTTCGGGTAGCAATCAATTTTTATTTTTAAATTTATTTTTCTTTTTTCTGCAATAAAAGCTTTTAACAAATATGCGTTTTGAGTAAACATATATTTAGTTTTCTTTGATTTATAAGAAAAATATATATTTAATATAGTACAATTCAAAATCTCGACTGGTCAAAATTCCTACACGATCAGTGAAGAGAAAATAGAAGCCTGGTATTATTCTTGTTTTTATATATATGCTCGTTCCAATAAAAAATTTGAAATTTTTATAAAAATGTTTGCAAATCTCGAGGGTCTTTCTATTAAAAGTTTTGTGTATTTTAAGCGAAAAAAAACATAAAAAATTTAACTCAACAAATGTATCATGGTCGGTTTAATAGTCTATTTTTTGTGCCAAATAAAGAAAGTTAGTTTTACAACTGATTATATATTAATAGTATTATGTATTGATGTACTGTACATTATATTATCTATATACAATATTCTATGTCTGTGCATCTGTATCTCTATACAACAGCTTTTTATTTGAGAAACGTGCCTTTCTCTCTAACCACATTCGAATTCAAATTTTTCTTAGAATAATCCTTAAAATTTTAACGGTTAACTGATTAGTTGTTACTTTTTATAATAATTTTTGAGTTTCAATTCATTAATATTCAAGAAAATAAATTACTTCCATGCTATGAACCAGTAAAAATTGACGAGTTTCATTACTAACTTGTTACAGCCACTAAATAAAACGAAACAAACAAATCAAAAGCACATAATTTATGACTATTATGAAAGTTGGAAAGAAATTTCGTAATTCGAAGTTGTTATAATGTCAATAGAAAACCAAATAAAACTACAATAATTGATGAAATTTTTAAATAGTGCTTTGGCACGGACTCATTTAGACGTTTGTATGAGCAAATTTGATTACCATTGATTTTATAGAGTGTCGAGATATAGCGGAATTTTGACCTGTCGGGATTTTGATCGGGTCCCACTATTATACTATTATATTACAATCCTTGAGAATAGTTCTTACACTTTTATTTGATTCCTCAAAAAGAAACTTATCAGTTTTGAATTACGAATACTGTATTTGTATTACCGAATGTAATAAAAATACATTCATTTACCTAATGTATCTGATTCTATACCCTAAAGTTCTATGTCCAGGAGAAATCGGGATCCAATATAAATAAAATTCATGTATTTGATCCTAATTTCTTCTTGTTCATTCGTACAATTCATGTATTTAAACAGATAACATGAAGTTATATCTTCATAGGCTTAAATAAATTGTAGATGTAATAGAAATAAGCGCGATTTATATATGAATCTGATAATGAAAAGTCTAGTAAATGAAAATGAAATTTCTATTCTCTTTAAATTTGCTTCGATAACATTTTATTTGACTAATAAATTTTTAATTATTTTAAATAAAAAACTTTCATTTGTAGGTATATTGCTACCATTGAAAAGTGCATTGGATTATTCAAGAGATTTTTATAAAACTGCCTTTAGGAAGTTAAATAATATCTTAAGTTCACTTAATGATTTCGTGGCGAAACACATGAAACCTGTGAGTGAAACATGGGATGAAATCGAAAACTTCATTTATAAATTCTTTAAACAAGTTTTTAAAAAGATAGATGATTCCAAGAATAAAATCTTGAAAAATCAAGATATAAAAGCCATTGTTGGCACTCTAAAAGAAATTAAGAATGAAGTAGGTCAAAATTCTTAATTAATCTTAACTCTTTCATTATTATTGACGAGTTTAAAATATTTCTAGATGGTCGCAGAAATAGAAAAATTACAAGCAAAACAATTGAACAAGAATTGGAAAACTTTCTTCGAAGTTTTCTCTTTATTAAAGCAAAATGATGACAGCGCTATTCTATTGTATGATCCTATTCAAGGTAAACTGAGAATCGATGTTGATCTTAAGAGATCAAAACATATGTTAAAAGCTCTTCGCAGAGATTCTGATTTCATACCAAGTTGGATCCCTCCTCTTGCCATAATAATTTCCAATAAAATACAACATGGATTTCCTCCATTCAGAGGTATGATATGCTTGTTACTATTTCATAAACTAAACTCAATTTTCTCAGTGAATTAAGGCAATTTATTAGCATACTCTGTTTCTAATTTTATATAAAAAATTCAGCTGAAGCAATAATGGCAGATGGTCAACATTTCAAAACATTTGATAATTCAATCTTCAGTATTTCTGGTGACTGCAGTTACTTTCTGGTGACAGAAAATGTCGACAGAAATTTTNACATTTATTCAAGTGTTGTGCAAATCATGGCTTCTAAAAAAACAGAAAGGTGATTTCAATTGAAACAAAGCAAGAAATCATCAGAAGGAGTGAAAGTTGACAAAAACTTCCTTGTCAAATGCGGAGAGGTTCAGGAGTTTACTAACACTCATTATCCAAACACAGTTGAGGCCAACAGGATCAATGATCTCTACAATGGCACCCTTGCCCGTCATTTCCAATATGTGTTGAAGAAGAGAGAGAAACAGACCACCTTGGACATGTTTTTCAAGAAGCCAGCAAGGAAAAAACAAAATATGGAACAAGAGGAGTTGACCCTGCAAGTTCCGGTAGCCTCTTCTAAATCTGACTCCGATTAAAAAACAATAAAAAGAGACCTGCTGCAATGTGTAGAAAGTCTGTATCTGTATGAATGTGTGAAAAAAGTGTTCCTCCACCTCCTCACAACATCTGACTACCCGTCATAATTGGTGACTGCTCTATTTTCATTTTCTTTTTATGGTACAGTATGGTTATTTTATGCTGTGGAACGAATTATATGTTTTAACATGTATTTCTATGAGAAAATGCGTTTCGTATAACGGACTTTTCACTTAACAGACGTGCACCTGGAACGGATTAAGTACGTTATACGAGGCACCACTGTATCTTGTTCATACTCACATTGTAAAATTCTAAAGTGTTATATTTAGGATGTATACTACCGTGTTTCCCCGAAAATAAGACATCCGCAGAAAATAGGACCTAGCACAGATTTTGCTGAATTGCGAAATATAAGACCTCCCCTGAAAGTAAGACCTACCGAAGTTTTTTTTTTTAGTCCTAACGGTCATCGACAGATGGTTGAAAGTGGCCGTTGGCTTTTTGAAAGTACAGCTGATTGGTCAGCAGACAATTACGCCACACGGCATGATTTGCATAAGATTATGGCTTGGGAATCACAGATTTGCATAACATTACGGTTGGTGATGGCTAATTGGTCGCCCGGGAATCACGCCACATGACATTTGCATAGTACTACGGTTCAGTAAGCACTAATTGGTCATCGAGTCCGATGTTGATGCTATAAAAAAAAAGCAACAGTTCGACACACCGGATATACGTCACTCTCGTCTAACTTGTAAGTTCGACCTGGGAATATTTTTGTTCAATAATAAATGTGACTTCTTCTTCCTGGAAAAAGTAAGACATTCCTTGAAAATAAGACCTAGCGCACTTTTCAGAGCAAAAATTAATATAAGACACTTTCTTATTTTCGGGGAAACACGGTATACAATTTACAGTACATTGTATAGTATAGATTTATTATTGTTAGATCATGTCGTACGGTACATTTCACCCCAAAATATCGATTGCATTTCTATAAATCAATTAATTTCATTTCCATTCGAATCCCCACTTGGCATCCTACCTGTCTGACTATCTGCTCTTTTCTATCTGTCCTTCCGACATTGTACAGTTTTTAAAATTTTGGAAACAGATTGTATAAACTATGCGAATTATGTATTTTGCTCTTGATTGCCTTAGTGTTGAATTGTTCCCATATACGTAAAATCTACTTGACAATAGATGTGGAAAGAACCTTGAAATTTTTATCACAGGTGTCGCAGTTTTATTCATTTATCTATATACGTAAAATTGTTTTTTCGTTTCTACGCAGTGAAAAAATACCGGAGCGGCGTTCCGGCCTCAATACATCATTGCCCTTCTAATATAATTGAAACTGATCATTTGGCCCGTTATATACTGGTATTTTGAGTCAATAGATCAATTTAAGTAGACTTTAGAACAAACAAATATAGACTGTAAAAATCAGTCAATCAATAATTAATTATAGTCCTATCTGTCTAAAATTTCATATACTTAATATCAACAAAATAAGTGCTCTTCTACCGCCATGGGAGGTCCAAATTTGAATCTAATCTGAAGGAATAGTCTTAACTATTTTCGATAATGTTGAAGTTTCAGTATGAAAGGACAATAAGAGGCTCTTACGCATTTACTTGTAGTACGATGTTAGAATATGCGACGTGAGCCTCCAATTGCCATTGGATACAGAAACTGTGGTATCACCAAAAGTAGTTAAGAATAAGCTCCCGGTGTCTTCAATTTTCGTTAGTAATTCGCTTTGATACATCATTTCCTCTTCCTATAGATCGTTATGGCGAATACGCCATAATAGATAAAATTGGGTACATTTTCTAACAGAAAAATCTAACAGAATGCGCTTGATGAAAATATATAATTGATATTAGTATGAAATTCACATTACAAAAAAGAAATATCAAATGTTTAAGATTTTATGTATATCAGATATTCATTTTACGCTAAAGCAATATATTATTTTTTGACGATGACGAGTTTACATAAAAATTTATAATTGTTTCTTGAAGTTTAAATTATACGTTGATGTTCTGATAATTTTAAATTTGCATAAAAGTACATTGGCAAATAAAGCAATAATCTACATTTACTAAATTATTGCTTTATAAGATTGAAGTTAATCGCGTTCTCGATCTATACAGTTTACAGATTAGGGTTGATAATTTACTGCGTAACGGTACGAATGTGACGTCATTATAGATGTTTACTTCATCTGGATCTTTCAGCCAAGTAAATAATCTTCGTAAATAATTATTAAATTTAGATATTTTATTTTAATCGACTTTAAATCACTATAAACTTTTTATTAATTAATTTTTCTGCTTCGTTTATATAATATATATTTTAATTTNCCAAATAAATAAAGTTAGTTTTACAACTGATTATATATTAATAGTATTATGTATTGATGTACTGTACATTATATTATCTATATACAATATTCTATGTCTGTGCATCTGTATCTCTATACAACAGCTTTTTATTTGAGAAACGTGCCTTTCTCTCTAACCACATTCGAATTCAAATTTTTCTTAGAATAATCCTTAAAATTTTAACGGTTAACTGATTAGTTGTTACTTTTTATAATAATTTTTGAGTTTCAATTCATTAATATTCAAGAAAATAAATTACTTCCATGCTATGAACCAGTAAAAATTGACGAGTTTCATTACTAACTTGTTACAGCCACTAAATAAAACGAAACAAACAAATCAAAAGCACATAATTTATGACTATTATGAAAGTTGGAAAGAAATTTCGTAATTCGAAGTTGTTATAATGTCAATAGAAAACCAAATAAAACTACAATAATTGATGAAATTTTTAAATAGTGCTTTGGCACGGACTCATTTAGACGTTTGTATGAGCAAATTTGATTACCATTGATTTTATAGAGTGTCGAGATATAGCGGAATTTTGACCTGTCGGGATTTTGATCGGGTCCCACTATTATACTATTATATTACAATCCTTGAGAATAGTTCTTACACTTTTATTTGATTCCTCAAAAAGAAACTTATCAGTTTTGAATTACGAATACTGTATTTGTATTACCGAATGTAATAAAAATACATTCATTTACCTAATGTATCTGATTCTATACCCTAAAGTTCTATGTCCAGGAGAAATCGGGATCCAATATAAATAAAATTCATGTATTTGATCCTAATTTCTTCTTGTTCATTCGTACAATTCATGTATTTAAACAGATAACATGAAGTTATATCTTCATAGGCTTAAATAAATTGTAGATGTAATAGAAATAAGCGCGATTTATATATGAATCTGATAATGAAAAGTCTAGTAAATGAAAATGAAATTTCTATTCTCTTTAAATTTGCTTCGATAACATTTTATTTGACTAATAAATTTTTAATTATTTTAAATAAAAAACTTTCATTTGTAGGTATATTGCTACCATTGAAAAGTGCATTGGATTATTCAAGAGATTTTTATAAAACTGCCTTTAGGAAGTTAAATAATATCTTAAGTTCACTTAATGATTTCGTGGCGAAACACATGAAACCTGTGAGTGAAACATGGGATGAAATCGAAAACTTCATTTATAAATTCTTTAAACAAGTTTTTAAAAAGATAGATGATTCCAAGAATAAAATCTTGAAAAATCAAGATATAAAAGCCATTGTTGGCACTCTAAAAGAAATTAAGAATGAAGTAGGTCAAAATTCTTAATTAATCTTAACTCTTTCATTATTATTGACGAGTTTAAAATATTTCTAGATGGTCGCAGAAATAGAAAAATTACAAGCAAAACAATTGAACAAGAATTGGAAAACTTTCTTCGAAGTTTTCTCTTTATTAAAGCAAAATGATGACAGCGCTATTCTATTGTATGATCCTATTCAAGGTAAACTGAGAATCGATGTTGATCTTAAGAGATCAAAACATATGTTAAAAGCTCTTCGCAGAGATTCTGATTTCATACCAAGTTGGATCCCTCCTCTTGCCATAATAATTTCCAATAAAATACAACATGGATTTCCTCCATTCAGAGGTATGATATGCTTGTTACTATTTCATAAACTAAACTCAATTTTCTCAGTGAATTAAGGCAATTTATTAGCATACTCTGTTTCTAATTTTATATAAAAAATTCAGCTGAAGCAATAATGGCAGATGGTCAACATTTCAAAACATTTGATAATTCAATCTTCAGTATTTCTGGTGACTGCAGTTACTTTCTGGTGACAGAAAATGTCGACAGAAATTTTACTATTATTGCTAAATATATTGGCAAAGATAGTGAAGGACATCCTAAAAAAGCCATTGTTTTGTTAACTCCTACTTATTCTGTAGAAATTAACCCATTCAAATCATTAGTAAGTTTATTTTAATTTATTTATTAGCGTTTACTGTTTTATAAATAAAAATTTATATTTATATTTTTAGGTGCTTTTGAATGATATTTCCATTGAATTACCATTCCTAACTGATTTCATAAGTATTACACGGCAAAATAACTTGATTAATGTACTTGACGAACACGGAATAGAAATACAATGTCATCTTGTTTATAAATTTTGTACAGTGTCGATTAGTGGTTGGTATTATGGTAAAATATCTGGTTTGTTCGGTACACTAGACTATGAACCAAGTACAGATTTTATCGATCCTCGTGGTAAATTATCTCAGTCTGTAGAACAATTTGCAGAAGGATGGCAGATTTCATCTCAATGTACACAACATGTCGTACCAATAATCAATAGGACTACTACAATATTTCAAAGTGAAGATACTGGAGGCGTTAAGTTATGCAAAGAATATTTTCTATATCCAACTTCACCATTCAAACCTTGTTTCAAAAAAGTAATCGTTAAATTATTATTTTTGATATAATAATATGATTTACATAACATTATTTTTTCAATATTAATTAATTTTTTATTTTTTTAAATAGTTTCTTCCAAATGACGTTTTAAGAATGTGCTTTTCCGCATACAACTCAGAATTTGATCTTGGCGCAGTTTGTGATATTGCTGCATCATATGTTAACCTGTGCCAAAATCATGGTTACGCTGTTATTTTGCCTTCCGATTGCTGTAAGTATAAATAAAAATTAGTAAACATTTTAAATTTTACGGCATTAAATAAATATTGTTTTAATAAATACGTTTTAGTGTATTGTACAATGAGCGATGGATCAAAACTGCAATACGGAGAGAGGAAATTACTCGAATTTGAAAACACATTTTATACGAAAAAGACAGCTGATGTAGTATTTATAATTGAGGGAAGCTACTGTAACAAAGAAAATATCAGAAACATGAGTCGGTTTACTAATATTATAGAGCAGCAATTAGAAAATAAGGAATATATAAATAATCGCTACAGCTTAATCGTGTATGGAGAACGAAATGAGCAATTTGAAGTGTATACTCATACTGCTCGTGGTCAGATTTTCTTCGATGAACATGATATAGATATTGCAGCTAAAAATATTAAATTGAATTATAATAGTCATTTCAAACCGGATGTATATGCAGCAATTTTGCATGCAAATAATCTGCCATTCAGGGAGAGTGCGTCAAAAATTTTTATTCTTATACATTGTAAAAAATGCGAATCGTCTGCCATGTCCGTAAGTAAGCTTTATTAATACCATTCATATTATTTTTATCAATGTTATATTGTATTATTGAACTTGTAGATTAGTTACGAAGAAATGTTGACTATACTTTCCACTTCTGGAATTGAGCTCCATGTTTTACGGAGTTCAGAATTCTGGTCACCATCATTATTCAAAAGTAAAAGTTTCTATGATAATTTTGTATTAGTAATACGTTATTAATAAAATTACCATAATTACTTGAATATACATTATTTATTAGGCGATGATCATAACTCTGCAACCATCAATGAAAAAGATAGCAATATGACTTGGACAATATTGGAAAAGCCTTTTGGATGGGGTGGTCTTTTTAGTAAAGGTAGTTCTGTATTAGCAATATGTTATTTGTAAAATTGCCATAATTACTTGAACATACATTATTTATTAGGCGATGATCATAACTCTGCAACCATCAATGAAAAAGACAGCAATATGACTTGGACAATATTGGAAAAGCCTTTTGGATGGGGTGGTCTTTTTAGTAAAGGTAGTTCTGTATTAGCAATATGTTATTTGTAAAATTGCCATAATTACTTGAACATACATTATTTATTAGGCGATGATCATAACTCTGCAACCATCAATGAAAAAGATAGCAATATGACTTGGACAATATTGGAAAAGCCTTTTGGATGGGGTGGTCTTTTTAGTAAAGGTAGTTCTGTATTAGCAATATGTTATTTGTAAAATTGCCATAATTACTTGAACATACATTATTTATTAGGCGATGATCATAACTCTGCAACCATCAATGAAAAAGATAGCAATATGACTTGGACAATATTGGAAAAGCCTTTTGGATGGGGTGGTCTTTTTAGTAAAGGTAGTTCTGTATTAGCAATATGTTATTTGTAAAATTGCCATAATTACTTGAACATACATTATTTATTAGGCGATGATCATAACTCTGCAACCATCAATGAAAAAGATAGCAATATGACTTGGACAATATTGGAAAAGCCTTTTGGATGGGGTGGTCTTTTTAGTAAAGGTAGTTCTGTATTAGCAATATGTTATTTGTAAAATTGCCATAATTACTTGAACATACATTATTTATTAGGCGATGATCATAACTCTGCAACCATCAATGAAAAAGATAGCAATATGACTTGGACAATATTGGAAAAGCCTTTTGGATGGGGTGGTCTTTTTAGTAAAGGTAGTTCTGTATTAGCAATATGTTATTTGTAAAATTGCCATAATTACTTGAACATACATTATTTATTAGGCGATGATCATAACTCTGCAACCATCAATGAAAAAGATAGCAATATGACTTGGACAATATTGGAAAAGCCTTTTGGATGGGGTGGTCTTTTTAGTAAAGGTAGTTCTGTATTAGCAATATGTTATTTGTAAAATTGCCATAATTACTTGAACATACATTATTTATTAGGCGATGATCATAACTCTGCAACCATCAATGAAAAAGATAGCAATATGACTTGGACAATATTGGAAAAGCCTTTTGGATGGGGTGGTCTTTTTAGTAAAGGTAGTTCTGTATTAGCAATATGTTATTTGTAAAATTGCCATAATTACTTGAACATACATTATTTATTAGGCGATGATCATAACTCTGCAACCATCAATGAAAAAGATAGCAATATGACTTGGACAATATTGGAAAAGCCTTTTGGATGGGGTGGTCTTTTTAGTAAAGGTAGTTCTGTATTAGCAATATGTTATTTGTAAAATTGCCATAATTACTTGAACATACATTATTTATTAGGCGATGATCATAACTCTGCAACCATCAATGAAAAAGATAGCAATATGACTTGGACAATATTGGAAAAGCCTTTTGGATGGGGTGGTCTTTTTAGTAAAGGTAGTTCTGTATTAGCAATATGTTATTTGTAAAATTGCCATAATTACTTGAACATACATTATTTATTAGGCGATGATCATAACTCTGCAACCATCAATGAAAAAGATAGCAATATGACTTGGACAATATTGGAAAAGCCTTTTGGATGGGGTGGTCTTTTTAGTAAAGGTAGTTCTGTATTAGCAATATGTTATTTGTAAAATTGCCATAATTACTTGAACATACATTATTTATTAGGCGATGATCATAACTCTGCAACCATCAATGAAAAAGATAGCAATATGACTTGGACAATATTGGAAAAGCCTTTTGGATGGGGTGGTCTTTTTAGTAAAGGTAGTTCTGTATTAGCAATATGTTATTTGTAAAATTGCCATAATTACTTGAACATACATTATTTATTAGGCGATGATCATAACTCTGCAACCATCAATGAAAAAGATAGCAATATGACTTGGACAATATTGGAAAAGCCTTTTGGATGGGGTGGTCTTTTTAGTAAAGGTAGTTCTGTATTAGCAATATGTTATTTGTAAAATTGCCATAATTACTTGAACATACATTATTTATTAGGCGATGATCATAACTCTGCAACCATCAATGAAAAAGATAGCAATATGACTTGGACAATATTGGAAAAGCCTTTTGGATGGGGTGGTCTTTTTAGTAAAGGTAGTTCTGTATTAGCAATATGTTATTTGTAAAATTGCCATAATTACTTGAACATACATTATTTATTAGGCGATGATCATAACTCTGCAACCATCAATGAAAAAGATAGCAATATGACTTGGACAATATTGGAAAAGCCTTTTGGATGGGGTGGTCTTTTTAGTAAAGGTAGTTCTGTATTAGCAATATGTTATTTGTAAAATTGCCATAATTACTTGAACATACATTATTTATTAGGCGATGATCATAACTCTGCAACCATCAATGAAAAAGATAGCAATATGACTTGGACAATATTGGAAAAGCCTTTTGGATGGGGTGGTCTTTTTAGTAAAGGTAGTTCTGTATTAGCAATATGTTATTTGTAAAATTGCCATAATTACTTGAACATACATTATTTATTAGGCGATGATCATAACTCTGCAACCATCAATGAAAAAGATAGCAATATGACTTGGACAATATTGGAAAAGCCTTTTGGATGGGGTGGTCTTTTTAGTAAAGGTAGTTCTGTATTAGCAATATGTTATTTGTAAAATTGCCATAATTACTTGAACATACATTATTTATTAGGCGATGATCATAACTCTGCAACCATCAATGAAAAAGATAGCAATATGACTTGGACAATATTGGAAAAGCCTTTTGGATGGGGTGGTCTTTTTAGTAAAGGTAGTTCTGTATTAGCAATATGTTATTTGTAAAATTGCCATAATTACTTGAACATACATTATTTATTAGGCGATGATCATAACTCTGCAACCATCAATGAAAAAGATAGCAATATGACTTGGACAATATTGGAAAAGCCTTTTGGATGGGGTGGTCTTTTTAGTAAAGGTAGTTCTGTATTAGCAATATGTTATTTGTAAAATTGCCATAATTACTTGAACATACATTATTTATTAGGCGATGATCATAACTCTGCAACCATCAATGAAAAAGATAGCAATATGACTTGGACAATATTGGAAAAGCCTTTTGGATGGGGTGGTCTTTTTAGTAAAGGTAGTTCTGTATTAGCAATATGTTATTTGTAAAATTGCCATAATTACTTGAACATACATTATTTATTAGGCGATGATCATAACTCTGCAACCATCAATGAAAAAGATAGCAATATGACTTGGACAATATTGGAAAAGCCTTTTGGATGGGGTGGTCTTTTTAGTAAAGGTAGTTCTGTATTAGCAATATGTTATTTGTAAAATTGCCATAATTACTTGAACATACATTATTTATTAGGCGATGATCATAACTCTGCAACCATCAATGAAAAAGATAGCAATATGACTTGGACAATATTGGAAAAGCCTTTTGGATGGGGTGGTCTTTTTAGTAAAGGTAGTTCTGTATTAGCAATATGTTATTTGTAAAATTGCCATAATTACTTGAACATACATTATTTATTAGGCGATGATCATAACTCTGCAACCATCAATGAAAAAGATAGCAATATGACTTGGACAATATTGGAAAAGCCTTTTGGATGGGGTGGTCTTTTTAGTAAAGGTAGTTCTGTATTAGCAATATGTTATNCATTCCCTGAAAATAAGACCTAGCGCACTTTTCAGAGCAAAAATTAATATAAGACACTTTCTTATTTTCGGGGAAACACGGTATACAATTTACAGTACATTGTATAGTATAGATTTATTATTGTTAGATCATGTCGTACGGTACATTTCACCCCAAAATATCGATTGCATTTCTATAAATCAATTAATTTCATTTCCATTCGAATCCCCACTTGGCATCCTACCTGTCTGACTATCTGCTCTTTTCTATCTGTCCTTCCGACATTGTACAGTTTTTAAAATTTTGGAAACAGATTGTATAAACTATGCGAATTATGTATTTTGCTCTTGATTGCCTTAGTGTTGAATTGTTCCCATATACGTAAAATCTACTTGACAATAGATGTGGAAAGAACCTTGAAATTTTTATCACAGGTGTCGCAGTTTTATTCATTTATCTATATACGTAAAATTGTTTTTTCGTTTCTACGCAGTGAAAAAATACCGGAGCGGCGTTCCGGCCTCAATACATCATTGCCCTTCTAATATAATTGAAACTGATCATTTGGCCCGTTATATACTGGTATTTTGAGTCAATAGATCAATTTAAGTAGACTTTAGAACAAACAAATATAGACTGTAAAAATCAGTCAATCAATAATTAATTATAGTCCTATCTGTCTAAAATTTCATATACTTAATATCAACAAAATAAGTGCTCTTCTACCGCCATGGGAGGTCCAAATTTGAATCTAATCTGAAGGAATAGTCTTAACTATTTTCGATAATGTTGAAGTTTCAGTATGAAAGGACAATAAGAGGCTCTTACGCATTTACTTGTAGTACGATGTTAGAATATGCGACGTGAGCCTCCAATTGCCATTGGATACAGAAACTGTGGTATCACCAAAAGTAGTTAAGAATAAGCTCCCGGTGTCTTCAATTTTCGTTAGTAATTCGCTTTGATACATCATTTCCTCTTCCTATAGATCGTTATGGCGAATACGCCATAATAAATAAAATTGGGTACATTTTCTAACAGAAAAATCTAACAGAAGGCGCTTGATGAAAATATATAATTGATATTAGTATGAAATTCACATTACAAAAAAGAAATATCAAATGTTTAAGATTTTATGTATATCAGATATTCATTTTACGCTAAAGCAATATATTATTTTTTGACGATGACGAGTTTACATAAAAATTTATAATTGTTTCTTGAAGTTTAAATTATACGTTGATGTTCTGATAATTTTAAATTTGCATAAAAGTACATTGGCAAATAAAGCAATAATCTACATTTACTAAATTATTGCTTTATAAGATTGAAGTTAATCGCGTTCTCGATCTATACAGTTTACAGATTAGGGTTGATAATTTACTGCGTAACGGTACGAATGTGACGTCATTATAGATGTTTACTTCATCTGGATCTTTCAGCCAAGTAAATAATCTTCGTAAATAATTATTAAATTTAGATATTTTATTTTAATCGACTTTAAATCACTATAAACTTTTTATTAATTAATTTTTCTGCTTCGTTTATATAATATATATTTTAATTTACGGAAGCTTAAATCTTCCTTAAACGTATATAATCGTTAATTATAATTAATTTTATTATATTAGACGTTAGCAACACTCGCATTTGCTTATATTTTCGTCGCGTAAATATATTTAAAAAACAATCTGACAAAGTTCCGACTTCTCCTTTCAGGTTCACCACGAGCTATCTACATCAATCCGCTTTATAATTGGTTATTCGGATGCATCACGTGCCGGTAAGTAACCAATCGGCGCTTGCCATCATCCGCACAAAGACGGTCAGCCATTTTGGAAGAAAGAGAGGTCGAAGGGACTCGAGTATTCGAACACTCTTACTTTTCAACTACCGAAAATGGAAGATTCTCAACAAGTAACTATAGCAACGGCCCAATTGGAAGTAGAAGGAAATTCAACCACTTTGGGAATTCGTCGACCCTTCGATCCGGTTGCTCACGATCTAGATCCCACCTTCCGTTTGACGAAATTCGCCGAGTTGAAAGGATGAGGGTGTAAAGTCCCCCAGGATGTTTTATTAAAACTCCTGGAGGGACTGACCCAAGACGGAAATTCTCAAGATGATCAGTCACATTATTTGCATATGACTTTGCCCAGAATAGGTAAGCGTGTTTGTTTATTCGTAAAGCTTAATGAGAATTTTGCCGAATGTGATAACCGTCTTCGATTCACATTTCTCTCGTTATAAAGAGAAAATGAATTACGAAAAACACTCGTCACGCCACGTATTTGTTAAACTCTTCGTATCTGTGTTAATCAATAATTTTACAGTATATCAGTTAATTCAAAGTTTATCTTCCTCTTCTTTCTCTAACTCTTACTGCATTTGGTTTGTAAAAAAAAATTGGAGAATTGCATCTTACAAATGTGACTTACATTAAAGATGATTTGAATGAATGAATTAGTTTACTGTTTTTGGGTAATGCCCAATAAACCGCACTTATCCGCTTTATTGCATACTTGCCGGTCCGGGAATGCAGAGGATGAGAAATAATAACGCGATTTGTTGATCGGCGGTTCTTAACCTATCCTGAGCATTCTGCGAAAGAAAAGATTTTAAAAGTTTTTTATTCAAATGTATTCCCGTTGTGATATTAGTAGACAATTCTGTGTTTTTGTTTTATTCGATATGTTAAAGTTTATTAGTTTATTACTTCGTAGTTTTCCGAGAATAGTAAACGTGGAATTACTTATTGAGTTTTGAATATATTGATGCTAATGCTCCGTGTAATAAAAAGTATATGAACGGTGTTCCGCCACCTCAAAAAGGTTGAGAACTGCTGTTGTAGATTTTTGACTTGCAGCACTTTCAAATTCAGTCTTCGTTCTTTTTTATCACAAAAAATAAGTTTATAATATTGGTTTTTCCTACTAGAATAATTACTAGTGGTAAAACGTAGGATAAAAGTACATTATACTGTATGTTTTATATAATACTTGAGTATTATATAAAACTTCAATTATCTAAAGAAAAAAAATGGTAAAAATTAATTCCTTATAGCATAGAGAATGCAATTTTGGCATGTGATGTAGGCTATATTTACAAGAAATGGCTTTTGTGTACTAAAGAGCAATGGTTATCTATCACACTTTGAGACAAAATTTCTCATGTAGCAATTTTTTAGAGAAAATAAATTAAATTAATTAAAAATCTACTAATGAAAAAATTAATTTTACATAAGTTAATCAGAAATGTAAAGCTTACATTGAAATTCTTATATGTACAAGAATTATCATAGTCTGGAAACATTGAACTGAAAGAAAATGTTAATGTTGGAGAGTAGAGAATTTCTAAAGAAACCCCATATGACTACTTGGATTTACAATCAGTATTAAAAATCCCAAGTATGTGAAGACAATTCATTAAAAGTGTTACCTAATCTCAAAACAGTGATTTTTCTAGCTTGGACTGACAACTTTTTCTAAATGTGGATTCTCAGCCTGAAAGTGGCTGAGAATCCACATTTGGGTTGGTAACTAAAAGTCTGTTATTGTCAGATGTGTATACGTATGTGTATTCTTGAAGTAAAAGGAAATTGAAGGTTTCAATTTGAAACTAGCCAGAACATTTGCTATTGCTCAAATTATTACTTTGCTTAATGTTTAAATTTAAAATATAATTTGAATATATATCATAAGGAATCCATGTAATATAATTACACAAAACAAATAATGAAATAGAATATATGATAGTATATACTTCAGCTACCTTATACAATTGTTAGTAGGCTAATATATACAGTACTATTTATAAACATTCAGTAAAATGTTTATATTTATACTTCGTTTATTTTTAATTTTAAGTAGTTTATTTATTTTATCCTAGACCTTGTACAGTTATTTTAATTTTATACATTGTCATTCAAAAATAATTTTAAAAAATTTTAGTACTTTCGAGTGAAAAGGTAAATGAGCATTAGAAAGGATTCTATTTTGTTTTAAAGTGTTTATTATTTTAATTTAATTTTCAATCATGTGTATAATCTTTATCTGAATTATTAAATTATATACATTTTATTAGGCTTCTGATAATCTCAAAACATCTTAATATTTAATCATCATAAATTAAAAATTAGATTGCCTAATTTTCAGTGTATCTATAGTTAAAATTTTTTTATGAGCATGAATAATGAATGACTATCTTCAGAATATATCAACTGGTGGATAAACATTTTACGATAATCCTGGATTCCAGAGTATGTGGTGTTTTTTTTTTTTTACATCACATGATTGACTTTAAGTAGATACATAACGGCATAAAGTATTAGATAAAAAGAAAGTACAAAGATTTTCGATATATTGGAGAGTTAGTAGAAGCTGCTATAAACCATAATGTTCCTGAAAAAAGGAAAGCATTAAAGAAAAACAAGCTGTGGAAGATATTATGATTCATCATTTACATGCTAATTTTAACATTTAATTATCATTTTTCATATGCAATACAGTAGACCCCTATAAGACGGTAGATATGTTTCGTTCTTTATGAATCAATTTTGTAGGAATCATAGTTTACGGACTACGGCTGTTTGAAAGGTTTTCTTTCATAAAATTAATCGATTCTAGACTAATTCGACTCAACATTTCCAAAATACGTATANCATTTTCAAGAATTTGTTCTAATTTCACATTATGATATATGCTATTGATTAGTTTACTGTAAAGTTTTATTTAAGTGAAATAAATGCTTCTAAAATAATCAGAATTTATAAGTGAAAATATAAATAAAGATCCTTTGCATCATCATCAAAAATCCTGAAATTTTTAAGATACTGATATAGGATGTATTCAAAATATTAATAAAGCCATTCATAACTTAAGAATATCGTTTATATTTTCATTTCAAGAATAAAACAGCTTTCATGTGTTGCTATTTTATTATGAGAGAAGCAACTATATTATTATACTTATTTATATCTGAACGAGTATTTAATACTAAAATATTTGTCACAATAATTCCATTTAAATGCTGTAGGCCTGTATACAACGAATCCATCACCATCAGACGAATAAATATTAATAACAATACTTATATACTACGTACGGTACAATTCAAATTTTTTTATGCTCTCATTGAATTGAATTACTTTGCTTTAGTGTGCAATGTGCTTGAAAACCAAAATTCGCTCTTCTGGACGTGTTGGCGCAGTTTGTGATATTGCTGCATCATATGTTAACCTGTGCCAAAATCATGGTTACGCTGTTATTTTGCCTTCCGATTGCTGTAAGTATAAATAAAAATTAGTAAACATTTTAAATTTTACGGCATTAAATAAATATTGTTTTAATAAATACGTTTTAGTGTATTGTACAATGAGCGATGGATCAAAACTGCAATACGGAGAGAGGAAATTACTCGAATTTGAAAACACATTTTATACGAAAAAGACAGCTGATGTAGTATTTATAATTGAGGGAAGCTACTGTAACAAAGAAAATATCAGAAACATGAGTCGGTTTACTAATATTATAGAGCAGCAATTAGAAAATAAGGAATATATAAATAATCGCTACAGCTTAATCGTGTATGGAGAACGAAATGAGCAATTTGAAGTGTATACTCATACTGCTCGTGGTCAGATTTTCTTCGATGAACATGATATAGATATTGCAGCTAAAAATATTAAATTGAATTATAATAGTCATTTCAAACCGGATGTATATGCAGCAATTTTGCATGCAAATAATCTGCCATTCAGGGAGAGTGCGTCAAAAATTTTTATTCTTATACATTGTAAAAAATGCGAATCGTCTGCCATGTCCGTAAGTAAGCTTTATTAATACCATTCATATTATTTTTATCAATGTTATATTGTATTATTGAACTTGTAGATTAGTTACGAAGAAATGTTGACTATACTTTCCACTTCTGGAATTGAGCTCCATGTTTTACGGAGTTCAGAATTCTGGTCACCATCATTATTCAAAAGTAAAAGTTTCTATGATAATTTTGTATTAGTAATACGTTATTAATAAAATTACCATAATTACTTGAATATACATTATTTATTAGGCGATGATCATAACTCTGCAACCATCAATGAAAAAGATAGCAATATGACTTGGACAATATTGGAAAAGCCTTTTGGATGTCTGTATTAGCAATATGTTATTTGTAAAATTGCCATAATTACTTGAACATACATTATTTATTAGGCGATGATCATAACTCTGCAACCATCAATGAAAAAGACAGCAATATGACTTGGACAATATTGGAAAAGCCTTTTGGATGGGGTGGTATTTTTGCTTTATTTCGTAATACTGAAGATGTTTGCGCTTCACTTGCTGCAGGACTTCATGGAAGCCATTTTAAAACGAAACAATATTCCGAAGATTTGTATAGCGATAGCAAAACTTGGTCAAATAAAATTTCTCGAAGTATCTCTCAGAGTTCTTCAGATTGTAAAATGTGCATATGTGGACAAGATATGCAAGATTATGGACCAATTGTCAAATGTTTGCCTTGTTCCTAAGATATAATAAGGGTAATATTCGTTTATTGAAGTCAGCTTAAAATAATGGTAATATTAATTATAGCCGTTAATTTTTATTTATTTACTTTATTTAAGTATGATAGTATATTGTACAGCATTTACAAATAATATTGTATAAAGTGTGTATTAGTACAGCGATTACAAACTTTCAGGAGACACACGGCCGATTGCAGAGACAGAGTTTACATTAAACGACGTTTACACATTGGCTCTTACTTACTTCGCTATTACTCCCCTGTTTTAGGAGTCGTTGGGCCGATCGGATTATTTCTTCGTGACGTCAGAAATGGTCGAGTGAGTCTAGAAAATAGGTCAAATAACTTGTTTCTAATCGCTGTCTTGTAGACAGCGATTAGAAACAAGTTATTTGACCTATTTTCTAGACTCACTCGACCATTTCTGACGTCACGAAGAAATAATCCGATTGGCCGAACGACTCCTAAAACAGGGGAGTAATAGCGAAGTAAGTAAGAGCCAATGTAAACGTCGTTTAATGTAAACTCTGTCTCTGCAATCGGCCG